TCAGTGTATGAATCAACAACAACAACTACTACTGTATCCATTAACTATTGAAATACCGAAATGCTGCTTTATGTTGTGATATGAGGCTGGTGCAGATCAGGAACCAAGCCGAACCATCGGAATTAATCCCGAAGTATGTATACGAAGAATCAACTTGATTGGAAATCAAGTTGATCTTCTCGTTGTATATATAGCCTCATGTTTCCCTCTGAATAATAATAATCAAGCTTCCTTTGAATTACAACACTTTAGATAATTGAAGCTACTATGCTACGATGCTCCGGCTTTGACGCACGTCAATAATATATTCGAAAAGAAAAGAATACCCAAAGCAAGCTCCGAAAATGGGCCAAAGATAGGCTCGGAATTTTGGGATTAAGAAGTTCATGGACGTTTATTTTTTACCGTCCGCTTCCACTGGCTCATCCTCTGCCGGCTCATACTGGATGGACACATCTAACATGAGCGCTTTTCTGTCGCTGCCAATGACTGGCATCCAATTCAATTCAAAGGTCCTCCAGTCATACGGAACCCACTGCACAGCAAGGACATCACCCGTTTGCACGTTTTCAACGTCGAATGATAGTAGAGGCTCCTTTGTACGCTCTTGTCGCAGCCTCACAAAAGGTCCCGCTACAATCCTGATCCGATCGTCAATCCTGTATTTGCGCAAGCAACAGCCACGAACTGCCGGCGATACGAGTAGACAAGCTTTCCACGTATCATAGTCCACAAAGTCCAGAATCCGGTCGTACAGTTCCGATGGCAGAAGGCCTTGCGATTTCCACGATGCCCGGCGGTTCCCCGCGACTTGGAAAAAATTGACCAACGCCGCGAGCCCGGGGAACTGGCTCCGCAGTCTTTCGACTGACCCCGTGCAGTTCGATTGCATGAAGAGCTCACCACGCCGACGCCGGATCTGCATCCCAGGTTTTGCCTCTGGTCGCTCGCGCGGATGTGTGCTCATACAGTAGTCTTCACGCAAAGGCGAGAGATCAAGACCGCTGCTGCATTTCACGATCGGAACCCCATTTTTACGCATAGTGACTTCTGCCAAAGCCACTTTGAAGAGAGAAAGAACGACTATCTGGAAGTTGGCGCGGCCCTGCTGGAGACCCCATTCAACGGCCCTGTTGATCGCCTCGCCGTCAATCACCAGCGTAAGACTGACAAGCGCGTCATTGAACCAGTATATTGTCTCCGCGGGCGCTACCCCTGGCTGCTCGCCTGTTTTATGGGACAGGGAACCAAACTCCAGCAACGGAGCCCTATTCCCAGCCCACGTTGTGTCAAGCCATCCTGGGGACTTGGGTAAGTGTTTGGAGTTGCAGTTCCATGACCCACAATTTCGAGGATTGCAACGCTGGGCCGGAAAAGAATGGAATTTAGCCTGGCCAGAGGCAATTGAGACAAGAGCGAAAGTCAATTCGCGAAAGGGGAACGAATCCGGGTCCCACTCCCTCCCAAAGTTAGTGATCTCATCCTTGTACTCAAGAAGGACATTGGCCAGGACGTGCGTGAGAAATGCTTTTCGCGCCTCCGCGATATCCGTCACTGGGGTTACTTGGCGAAAGTTATAGTCGATCTGCCATTTGGGCGCGGGCAACGCCAGGGCCAGCGAGGCCATGTGCTCTTCCGGACACCTCTCGAGGGAGATTGTGGGCTTGTACATATAGATGCTGTCATCGATTGCGTGAAGCCATTGATTGTTCTCACGCGGTACATTGCCCAGCTTCCAATGTATGCCGTAATTCATGGTAAGAACTTCGTGGTCGAGATTGATGACGTATATGTACTCGGCATCATGGTCATCTAGTCGCGGTATCTCTGAAGGAAGCGACACTAACTCGCTAAACTGCGAATAGTCGGGTTGGACGCCGTCGCGTATCTCGTAGACGAGGGCTTCAAGGGCCCTTTCCTTGGCCGCATACTCTGCTCGCATGGACTGGAGCCAATCTGCCATTCATTAGCTTATTATAAAGTATAGGCTATCCCCTCTCATGTACTTTGGTATTCGTCAGGGTCTGTGGGGATTTTTGCAACAATTTTGGCTCCGAGGCCCTCAAAGTAGCTGTCAAGCCGGTGATATCGAATGTAGTAACGACGATTGAAGCGTACAACCTCAAGACCTCGAGTTCCCATTGCGAGCTGGCCGCAGGGCCAACGGCTTTTGACGGCTGATGCCAACAGAAATAAAAATGGATAGAGGAAGTAGATAGCGTGTGGTCGATATCCGAGTTCGAGACGAGCAGTGTTTTGCCGAGTTGACTTGTGTGGGTAGCAGTGAAGATTAAAGCTGAAACAACTAAGTCTGAGGGAAGAGGCGCCTGTTTATAATATCGTAGAAGAAGCTATTATTAGTCCTGGAGGTCGTGATTCCCGTTGGTGCCAATAGCCTGCAAGTGTGCGGTTGACTTATATAATTTACGGAATCTTGGCATCGTCTGCGCCCTTGCTTTGTTATACATGATATTGACTGGCTCTGCTGCCAGTTACTACATGTGGAGTGGATTTTAGGCAGTCACACTTCTATGCGGCTCAGCTGCCTACAGTGGGGCCTCCTAGTTATTCCTACAAATGTTGCCCGATAGAACAAACATGAACAGCTCTAAGAGTGGAAAAGAGCGCAACGTGTTTAGATCAATACATGTCGGCAAGTCTCTCGCTCATCGAGAATGCCATGGTCAAAGCCTCTGTCGATACCCAAATCCTGTTATGTCCTCGTATATTGTGTTCTAAAGGTGAACAGGAGCTTCGTTCGGCGAGTTGTTTGTTTGTTTGGGTCATCAGATGAAAGTGGTGAAGGTAGTCGACCGGGAAACGAGGTCCCGGAAACAAACGTGCATAATATTGGGTGTCAGGCACCCAAGGAACCCATTCACAAATGACACGACGGCAGATATCTGTCAGCAACAACCACTCTTCCGGTGAGTGTCTTGATTATCGATTAATGTTTATTATTCATTAGGGGTTTACTTATTATCATATTTTTTTTTTATTTGACACATACTGTTGGCCACGTTGACTAAAAGCTATAGTATATATAGAGTCTAGGAACCTCAGGCTGACACCGTCCCCGGGTATAGGTTTCCATCGTTGCGAGATTGCGTTGCCGGTAGTGTAGGGAAGGTTGTCATATATTCTGTAAAGTAAGCTGATATCAAATCACATGCTATCAGGCTGTATAATGCAACGATAACAATGAGAGATGCGAAAGTGGCCACAGATGGATTGAGAACACGGACCGAATGGCTGGGTGATGCTGAAGGTTTGAACACTCAGTTGCAGATAAAAGGCTCTGTTTTCATCAGAGTGAGTGAAACGCCATAGCTAAGTATGCCTATGTAATTCTATATGTATTGTCGAGCACAGGGAGTCTCCTGGTCGAATCAAAGGATCTCCGCACTAGACGGTGGATGTTGGGTACCATGAAGTGTCGCAACTGCTTCGGTCGGACACGATACCTGGGACTGCGACTACACGCCGCCGTGACCGAAAGTGGTCCACATAGCTCAGCGCAGCAGAGGCCGGCGCCAGAACTCCAGCCGACCCCACCTCCAAACCAAGCTGAGAATGATCGCAGTCGAAGGTCACTCGCTCCATCGCCCGAAATCCCACCTCGTCAGGCATACAGCCAGGGCCAGGGTCATGATCAGCAAGCAGAAAGAACCCAATCCGTCCCGTGTGTTGTGTCGTGCAGGCAATGACCACAACTCGCACTGCAAATTGGTTTGCCATCCTTCCAGCGCTGCGTGGATGATCCCCGCTAAGTCCACCAGAGAACTGGCCTAATCGCACTGTTCTCTGCATCGCGTCTCAATTGCACACAAGCATAGTGGGATTGGTTGAGATGAATTAGGGCCTTTTTGCGGGATACATGATGCTCTGGCAGGCCATTGCGGCCACTTACGATATTTCGTTTGGCATACGTTCAGCCTTCATATTTTATTCTTAGACTGGGGCTAGGCACCTTCGTTGGGGGACCGACTATAACTGCATCACTTCATACGGCCTCAAGAGGAATGGATTCTTCGATTTGTAACTAGTCCATAAGTATTGTATCCGGCAATGAAGGGGGAAAAAGGCCTGTGTACATCTAACATCACTACTATCGCGGTCTCAACTGGTAACTTAAGGTGCAGTAAAAGCACGGACTGTCATAGCTGAAAGCAGCTTGACAATTCATAGAGCCAGTGGTTAACTCAGAGTGCAGAGTCGGGCAATTCCATCGCTACGAGCACAACCGCCTGACCCTCAAGATAGCAGTATCCACCAAGGCAAAACACAGCGACAACTTTCTCTGTTCTCCTAACCGACAGGCTCTCGATGACTGAGATATTCTGTCTTGAGCACACGGTACCAGCCAGTATGTTGCCCACCGTTACCCTCAGTTTACCATGGCTACCGGTTCTGGTCGGCCAGATTGCCTGGAGACATTCAGCGGTTCTCCACCCCAACATGGAGATTTGACCCTTTCGTTCTGGCCTTATCCATCCATAGAGTAATCCGGAAGGTCACGTTTGATTCTTCACTCCCTCGCAAGCGCAGTGTTTCCAAGACCACAAATAGCGCAATCACACGAGATCTGTGTCGACGCCTCGAAGCTGGGAAATATGCGAGAATCAAACAAAAAAAGAAACCCACTACAAGGCTTATACCCCTGAATAGCGAGCAAGAAAACCTCAGCGGTCAAGCTGGAACTAAGAAAGCCCAAACAAACCTTAATTGAGCGTGCCGGTCACCGTGGCGTAGGAAGTCATTAGACATTGGACTCAGGTCAGCGAAAGAAAGTTAAATTACCCACTCGACGCAATGCCATCTGATTCGTCCATGGCGTTGCCTCGTCTGGAACTAGGTGCTACCTAGGAGGTCACGCTTCTCCCCGTGCCACGATCATGTGGAGCCCGGGAATCACTCTGGCGCAGGTGCATTCTTCTCTCATCGAGGGTGTCTCTCTTCTGCCTATTGTGACAATAAGACGTGGGCCTGATGAAAAAAGCCGATACAAAATAATGTGATACTCGATACATAATCCCAGTTTGTCCCATTGAGTTTCAGGGGGAACATTGTTCGTTCAGAAGGACGGGAAGACGAGAAGCTTCCCAAGGTGAAATTTGGGCGGTTTCTATTCTAGTACAGTATTCGGGAAATGACATCTTGGGCAATAAATTAACTCGACAGAGGTTGGGTATTGTACTGCGCAGAGGAGCTGTAGAAACTGGAGATAATACGACGAAAGAAGGAATTGGCAACCATTGTGCTCTGTTGGACCACGGTTTCCCAACTGTTTCCAAGTGGCAAAGCCCACTTGTGCAGACCTACAACCCGTTTTCAAAGTATCTTTGTGTACTTGAGACGTGCATTGACCAACGGCGCGGTCCCACGAGTCGCACACATCTTCGCCCTGCCCGCCCATGCCCACGCCGAGTTTTCCCCCAGTCGGCGTCTTTGACTGGGGCCCTCACGTCTTTGAGCTAAAGCCTGAACGTACATGGTCATTTGGGGAGATGGCTTCTTGCGTATTTGGTAGGAGGGAGCACACGCAGAGATGGCCAGATGCCCACCCCGCACTTGAACGACCATTGAAGTCCATCTCGACCGCATGACGGTTCTGGTACTTGAAGTCGGCGAGGCTGGATGCTAATGCTGCACGGTTGGTCTTGCCGGGCGACCGGAGCGCTTGGAGATATAAGGCCGGCGTCTCCCAGTCCTGTTCACTCCAGGACCAGGCTCCCTGTCCTCACTCACTGGAATGCGCAAGCGCAACAGTGTGCACCTTCACAGGAATGGCGGGCCTGTGTCGTACGATCTCCTCGGAGATATCCCCTGACAGGAGTGGTGGGCCTGTTTAGTATCA